TAAGTTTTTAACCTTAAGATAAACAAAGTGCAAATTCTTTGTTATTGTTTTTCCACTTAGAACATTAGTTTTAGACACGATTGTAATTAAAATAAAGAGAAATATTATTCAATATATATTTACACTTTTAAAGCATAATGGAAAATGATAAAGTTACCTTTATAATAGGCTTTTCATTTCTTTGATAGCTTTTCGGTGCAATGAACAAAATCATACCACAATGTAATCCTTGGGAATGCTTACAATTAACTACCAATAGGACCTACATTATATATTTGACATACAAACCGGTTATAAAGTTAACATGATTAAAAATTACAAATTGAAATACTAACCCTTCAATGCATGGAACCAAGCATATATATCTTTGTGAGTCACTCATTCAAGTTTGTATATATTGTTGGATTTGGACATTCATGTTCCCGGATTATTCGATGGATTGAGGCTCAACAATCTATATATTTTTTATTTTTCTTAGTCCACACTCAATATGTCAATGTAGCTAACACAATGAGTCATAAGTTAAATATAATTATTATAATGTTAGAAACATAAATGAAAATGACTTGCATGACCCATAACTATATGATGGAAATGTTTAACATGCAGTTTCCCTAACAATCTCTAATGCATCGGGCAAGAAAATGTACAATGAGCAGAATTGTCAACTCCAAAAGCTTTGATGTCCCATTGTAGCTGAGTTGGTCTCTTCCTCAATCGTGGTAATGTAATCTGGGATCATTCTCAATTTTTGTCATGCCCTCATCAATATCAGGTTCTCTCATATGCTTACTACGATGAAAAAATTCTAAATAAATAATAAAAATTGATTAAACATTCATATAATTATAAGAATAAAGGAGAGAAAATACACAATATATATTACATTTGCACGTGGTGGGAGTGGCATCACCAAACTTCTTAACCAAACTAAGAATGTGTTGTTTGTTTGTCCCACTAATTGAAGCTTTGTATTAGGCAGAGGCACTGGAGCAATAGCATTATCAACTTAATCAACTACTACATGCGTCCAGTCTATAAAGGAATACCATGGATGGTTAAGCCACCCTTAAAACCTCAACCAATTGCCACTAGACACGAGGGGTCATCCTCAACATATAACTTACACTAGTTTGATGCATCAATGTGAGTATATTCCCCTGAGGATCTGCAGTAGTAGCACAACTCCCTTTAATGCTAACTCTAACAATATCATCTTGAACTATATAAGGTGTTCCTTGAGTCTATTGTTGATAACGAGCAAGAGATTCAAGTCTCTCATAGAACTCTTACTACAAGGACTATCATATTTGATTTAGTTTTTCTTCAAATTGCATCTCCATTTTGTGCAGGGTCTCCTAACTACAACTCTGTGATATAGACCAAAGTAATCATGGAAGCCTCAAGATCCACTAGTACCACGCGTAGGTCCTGAGTGCTCTGGTCTTCCTATAATCGTCATCAATATGTCTTCTCAATCATGCGACACAATTTATCCTTAAGTGGCCTACTCAATTAAATCATCCTACAATACATTAACAATAAGTAAGTCACACACTACATTACATAGGAATCAATTGAAATTGACATTATAACTTACGATTTTCAAAGCAATAACTCATGCAGACTCAAAACTCATTTGTCCATCAGATCTTGTGTGAGTTGTTTTCCACATCTCATAATGAGGGGGTTGAGATGTAAGGTCAGTATACTCAACTTCTACTGACTCTATGTTGGCCTTCCTTCATGAGTTGTTGCACCAATGCATACCCATCCCGTTATAATAGATGGGATGCATCATTCAGCTTATGATGTTCTTGGGCAACTAGTCTTTTATCCTGCAATGAAATTAAGAAAATTATAATAGTATATTAGGTATTTTTAATGTAAGAATTACTTAACCTTCCAAGAACGGTCCAATCAACTGGCACGAAACTGCAATCAATCCTCTTCACTAATATGATACTTTAGGCAAGGAGTTTCATCTTGATACTTTCCAAATACATACTCTCGTGTCAAAAAAGTCTTAAAGTCCCTCTATCTAGTGACAATGAAGGATAAAATCTTATTCCTCATCACCTCGGTGTTAGGAATGTCAAAATTTTATTGTGTTCAACAAATGTGGAAATACCTAAATATTTTACCACGTAAGGTTCTTATTGTCTCATCAACATCATCCACGATGCATATTTCTCTCTTTTTTTTTTTGGAGAAAGGTAATTTGAGATTGTCCAAAATGAAATAAATAAATGTCCAAATTTGAAATTCTCACTCGGTTTTCTTTTATTACTTAGTTTCGCATGCAATTCTCAAATTAATTTTAGGTTTATCACTTTTTTAAAATTTAATTACTGCACTTATTTATATTAAAGCAACTTTTGATTTTGCACTTTATTCTGACAATTTTTTAATTTAATTAAAAGCACTCTATTTTATTTCTATAAATTCCAATAATCTAAATTCTGCTTTAATTTAATTTAAATTGTTGTTATTATTCTACTACAATTTGATTTTGATTTTTATTATTTTGCATCAATTTATTTTTTTCACTCTTTTAGTTTATTATCATCAATCCCTTATTTATTATTATTTACTATTTTTAGAGAAAATAATATTTGGTAATGGGTACATTCCTATAATTGTATCATTGTAAGATTTGACATAGGTTAGTTATACTATATTAGTTTAGCTATATTGTATTAGTTTAGCAACCTGTTAATTTTTTTCACTAGTATTTTGTACGATCAAAATGTTGTCATAATCCATCCCTAGACTTGATGACTTGTTTGTTGAGATACATGGCTCTATCATATTTTCCAAAATTGATTTGAAGGGCAGTTAGAATCGTATAAGGATTAAAGAAGAGGATGAATGAAAAATCGCCAAAAAATGCAAAAAAAAAGGTAGCAAAGAAGAAAGAAAAAGATATTAAAAAGGTTTTAAAAATTCTTAGATGAATTCTCTCCAAGAAGGGGGATGATAAGTCTTTAAGTTCCCGAGATCATCCCTAGGAGAATCACCAGAAGCATGTCTAGAAGGGAAACATCCTCCCCACCTTTATCCCTTAATTTACTTAGTATTTTTCTTTCTCTTTAATTTTCTAGACTCATATTTAAATCTTGATTTTGTAGGATTACTAAAGGACACCTCTCTTTTGAAGTCTATCGCCTTTTTTTTTAAGGAAAAGAGTCTTGGACTCAAACTTTGAAGCATGAAGGGAGAGAAGGTCAACCTTGGACCTCTTAAAAGAGAAAGGCCACGGTTTTTGGTGAGAAACACAAAAAGGGAGCTACCTTTCTACAGTAAAATTAAGGCTACATGTGCTTCTAAAACCCCTAATGTAATTTCCTCTAGATCCCTCACCCTTGCCTATATATAGAAGTTCCCCACCTTTTTTAAATGGTTAAAATTTGATTAGAAGTTTGAGAGTTCTTCTTTTTTAGTGATCTTTTTCTCCTAGTCTTTCTTATCTTGAACTTTGGTTCAAGTGGTGACAACCACCATTCATCTTGGGTTGGTGTGCCAACACTCTTTTGCTCACCCGACTTCTTCTCTTCTCAAATTTTGTTTCATTTTCTTCTTTTATTTTACTACATTGGTTTGGGTTCATGTTCAACCTTGTTCTTTATTGTTTTATGTTTTATTTCATTTTTTCTCTTCTCTTGAGTCCTTGAAAGTGCACATTCATATTTAGATAAGTGATTGTCTTTGTGTCCAGTAAAAATCTTTCTTGAGTTTTCTCTTATTTATATCAAATACCTTATATGTTTAACTTAAAAAATACACTTATCTCATATTAGCTATTATGAAAAGGTCAAAAATAAGTAAGGATTTGTTATAGATTGAATCGGTGAGAGACGGGGAAGGGATAGGAGTGAGTGTGAGTGTGAGGTGTGGTGAATTATTTAATCCATGATCATGAATAGGAATAGGAATAGGAAGAAGGGGTTTGGTTAGGTGGGAGTCATGCAATGCTTTTTCCATCTTGAATGGAAATATATTTACATGAAATATGACATCACGACTAATAAAAATTTACTGTGATCAAGTTCATAAAGGTGGTATGCTTTTTTATTTGTAGGATACCCAAAAATATGCAATGTCTAGCTCTAGGTTCAAATTTATTTGGATTTTCATGTAAAGTAGATGCATAACTCAAACAACCAAATTTACCTAAATGTATAAAATCAAGTGAGTGACCATAGAGGCTTTTATAAAGAGTTTTGTCACCTAAAATTTTGGATAGTGTTTGATTTATTAAGTCAGGAGCAAGGAGAACGCATTCACCCCAAAACAATATTGGAAGACCAACTTAGAAACATAGAATCCATGCAATATTAAGAAGATGAAGGTTTTTATGTTGTATAATATTATTTTGTAGAGTACCTAGCAACATCTTAGTAAGTCATGATATCTTGTGAAAATTGACCTTTATGTTACACTTATTTTCATCAGATATGAGATAGAATTATGCAAATGAGACATAATCTAATACATAACTTCAAAAAAGATTAATCTAAATTCTAAAGCAATTATTTCTATGTTAATTTAGTACCTGATTTAAATTAATTAATTATATAAATTACCATAATCATCCACCTATTATTTTCACATACTGGATCAAGAAGGTTTGTGACTTGTGTGCCTTTTTGTATTTTATTCTTATCCGTAGGTTATTTTCTTATAAATTCAAATAATTAGTTACTTTGTTACAAGATAAAAGGCCAACAATCTGACCCATTTTCCCATTTTCTCTGATATATACTTATCAATTATTAGTAATCATAATCAATTGTCAAAACAACTTGATATAGATAGAAGATAACCCATAACAAAGGTAAGAGTACACAAACCTACATTCTAAGCATGATTATCAGAGAGGTTTACTAAAACTCATTTATTTTCTCATATTATATTATTCTCTTTTTAGCATCATTGTTAAGTGAACCTTCATTGATATTGGGTCCATCCTCCAATAAAATCAACCACTTGACTTAATATCAAGGATATATATTAAGATCATTTCCCAGTATAGAGCTCGTCCCTGAAACATGTAAGAACTAATTAATTTAAACATTTGTGTTTTTTATTTCTAATAATACAAATACACATCAGATATGTAAAATCATTAAAAAAAAAAGAGTAGAAAAAGAATAAACGCACCAACCAAGGCTTTTCGGATTTGATGAAGCTCCTTGCTAACATCAACCACATCCATTCTTTCTTTTGGTGATTCCACGGCACAGGCAAGTCCAATCCTAAAAAGTGAAACTAAGTGCTTCTCAACAATTGGATTAAGATTCATTTCATTTTCCTCAATTGGAGTTAGTCGTGGATCCATAATTTGGGAAAGTTTATTGGGAAATGATATTGCAACAAAGTTACAAAGATTTTGACCATCTTCAAACGTTTCATCTGTAGGTCTTCTCCCAGTAAGCATTTCCAACATGAGAATTCCAAAGCTGTACATGTCGCCATAAGTTGACACTTCACAACCCACTCCATACTCGAACATATATACCAAAAACTATCAATATACAGTACTAATAAATAACAAATTCAGAGCACAAAATTTTGAGAATTCAAAGGACCTTTAATGATTCGAAAACACAAGAAAATACCTGGAGGAGCATAGCCAATAGTTCCCTTTATTTCAAGTGTACTTGATTGTTTAGTGGTGATACCTTTGATTGATGAGAGAAGTCTTGCTATGCCAAAATCACTTACATGAGCAGTCATGTCATCATCAAGAAGCACATTGCTTGGCTTTAAATCACAATGAATGATCAATTGGTCACATTCATGATGGAGATAATGTAATGCAGAAACTACGTCAATCATGATATTTAATCTTTGACTAAGCCTCAATGTTCTCGGGGGCTCTACACTTGTTGTGGGAGGATGCAACCATTGCTCTAAGCTTCCATTTCTCATGTACTCAAAGATTAAAGCTTTGAATTCTTGACCTTTGTAGTCTGTGCTAGAACAACATGTCAAAATCTGAACAAGATTTCGATGTTTAATGTTTTTCAGTGCATTACATTCAGCTACGAAGCTCTTGTGAGCTCCTTTTCTTTGCAGGTTTAGAACTTTTATGGCAACAACTCTGTCTTCTAACTCAAGAGTTCCTTTGTAGACAGAACTAAAATTTCCATTCCCTATCAAATTTGTAGTTGAGAACCCATCAGTTCCGTTGTATAAGCTTTGGTAGGAAACTTTAGCCAATTGCTCAATTGTTGATGAATCAAGGGAAGGTTTCTTTCCCTTTTTCCTCGACCAATAGATGGTTAATATACATGATAGTACAATAAGACACGCAACTACACTCAATATCACTACTATCAGTCTGAACTTGTGGTGTTTTGCAAGTTTCTTACTTTTGACAGGGCATGGTGGTAGATGCAATTCAGAAATACCTCCACAAAGCTTACTATTTCCAGTCACAACTACAGCACTTGCATTTCGAAAGACACCTCCAGTGGGTACCTCACCTTCCAACATGTTAAAAGATACATTGAAATGTTGTAAGAAAGAAAGGTTTTGCAGAATATTTGGAATTGAACCAGACAAATGGTTTTGTGATAGGTCCAAAAGTATAATACTTTTAAGTGATGCCAAAGAAGATGGTATGATTCCTTGTAAAGAATTCCCTTGCAAATAGAGGTACTCTATCATCATGCATTCTCCAATACCACTAGGAATGTGACCAGACAAATGATTCAGAGACATATCTAGAAAGTCGATATTTTTTAACTTTCCCACTTTCTCTGGTATACTACCACTCAACGAGTTATGTGACAAAGCCAACTTGTCAAATAAAGAGGAAAGATTAAAAACCTCTAGCGGTATGGTTCCTGTAAGATTGTTCTGCGAAAGATCTAGATGTTGTAGGATTTGGCAGTTTCCTATACTTGGAGGAATACTCCCTTCAAACTGATTTGCTCGCAGGTCCAAATAAAACAATTGACTAAGGTTGCCAATGAAGGGTTCTATCTTTCCTGACAAATTGTTTCCCCGTAAGCCTAACACTCGAAGCACTTTCAGCTTTCCAAAAGTTGTTGGGATAATCCCATCAATGTGGTTATTGTATATGGTCAATAGAGTTAAGCCAACTAGATTTCCTATTGCCTCAGGGATTTCTCCAGATATGTCATTGTATCCGAGATATAGTTCACTTAGTTGGGTGGAAAAATTGCCCAAAGAATTTGGCAAATGACCTCCAAAATTATTGAAAGATAGAGCTAATATTTTCAACTTAGTACAGTTCATCAATGATTTTAAAAACTCCAAACCAGTAGTTGAATTGTCACCTAAATTGTTCTTACCCAAATTTAGGCGATAAAGATTTTGCAGTTTTCCAAGACTTGGAACTCTTCCCACAAAATGGTTTTCGACTATCTCAAAGAGTGAGAGTAAGGATGCATTTGTAATGGAAGGTGGAATTGGACCTGAGATATGATTGCCACCTAGTACAAGTGCCTGGAGATTTGGGAGGTTGTGGAACATGTTGGATGGAAGAGAGCCACTGAATTGGTTGTCTGAAACTGAGATTCCAATAAGAGATGACATATTATAAAGACAAGAAGGAAATGTTCCATTGAGATTGTTAACACCCAAAGCTATAATTGTCAAGCTATTGAGATGACATATTTGTATTGGAATATCTCCCTCTAAGTTGTTAAAAGTCAGGGAGATATATGTCACTGATGAAAGATTCCCTATTGATGATGGAATTCCTCCCGTTAATTGGTTTCGACCAAAGTTCAGAAGTTGAACCTTCTGGAGTAACCCAATTTCGGTTGGTATTTTTCCCAGAAGATTGTTTCCATACAAAAATAAAACTTTGAGTTGAGTACAATATGTCAAATTGGAAGGAATTTCTCCTACCAATGTGTTATTTTCAACCTTGAAAATTTGCAATTGGGACAATCGTCCCACTTCTGGCGGGATATTGCCATGAAAACTGTTGTTTCCAAGTTCAAATCTTCTCATAAAAGATAGATTACCTATGTGAGGAGATATCTTCCCTTTCAACTTGTACCCTTGCAAGCTCAACTCAGTAACTCTCGTAAGCGTGGAATTGCATGTGATTCCATGCCAATTACAGAAGTGAGTAGAAGTATTCCAAGAAAGCATGATCCCACTTGGGTCTCTCGATATTGACTCCTTGAATTTGAGCAGTGCCAAATGATCGATCTCATTTTCTAATGAAAAAACAGTTTGTTTGGAGTTGAATGTGAAGTGGAAAATCAGGGGAACATATATAAACCAAAAGGGAAGTATGCTAAGAGAAAAATGCTTCATTTTTTATGGGGTATTTATGGAGTTGTTGAATGCTGGTATTTCTATTCTTTCATAGATTTATAGAGTTTAGTATCTTGGATGAAATAAGAAAACAACACTTGGTTTTATAGTCAAGATAATAACCAATGTTACACGTTAAAGGTCAAGTCAATAACCAACGAATTCACAATTGCATATCATATACGGCAATGAAAGAAATCCAAGAAAAATGGGACCTAGATTTGTGGAAAGTTATAACCAAAGATTTGTTGAAGTTACCAAAAACAAATAGTTATAGTCTAATATGTTTGTTGACTTGGTAGTATAAAAATAATTAGAAACAAATTAAATGTGACTATATATATATATATATATATATATATATATATATATATATATATATATATATATATATTAATAATAAATAAAAGATTAAAAGTATGTTGGTATTTATTTATATAAAGGAGTTGAAGTTGTCAATAATCTTGAAAATTGAGAACTTTTTTAATTACGAAATACTATTTTATCACAATAAAAGTAATATTTTTCACTATTATTATACATTTAATCTTTTGAAAATGCCTCATCATAAGTGTCACTAGTAAAAGTAAACACAAGTCAATCATCTCAAAAAACCGTCATCACAAGTCAAAGTTTAATAATTTATTTATATATATATATAGTCTTAAAATAGAACACAATGCAAAATAAGTATACATATATTCTCATGAAATAAGTATCATAAAAAAATATCAACATTTAGCTTTAACATTTACCAAGAAAAATAATCATTAAGATATAATTTTCATTGGTGATCATGATGAGAACTTCAATAATTTTAACATCTTCATTACTCCATCATGTTGCACATGGAAATGATTACACATTTCATGACAAAATTAAAAACTTCATTTCTCTTTCTTTATCTTTGATTCTATTTTTTCATTACCCCTTTAATGGTTGAAACTTCTTCTCCTACCTATGACCCTTTATTGTACTTTTTAATATGCATTTTTATCTATAATTCTTTTCTTTCTACTTTCACTATAACTCTTTCTTTTTACTTTAATCTACATTTCTGGTTATAAATCATTCATTCTACCTTTGAAAACATTTTCCTTATTGATATGGAGAATGAAAATAGCAAAAAAATATAAAAATAATATTATTTTAAATTATTCTTATTATATGTATAAATTAATTATTAAAAAAATATAAGATTAGATGTTCATATAATTAATATGTGAGTAAATATATTATTAATGAAGTCCAAAACTCCTTTTCTTTTCATGATTTTCACTTGTTTTTCTATTAATTAAGGCAGTGAACTAAAATAACTCCTACCGACATTCTTTATTTTGTTTTATATATGTATAGAATAGGTATGATAAAATATTATTATAGTAACGGTATAAATTTTAATTTCAATCTAATTAATTTATTAAAACAAATAGACATAATAAGTCTAAATAATTGAAAAATCTTACATGATAATATTGTTCACAAATTTTATATATAAAAATAAAATAATATTATAATATATAAATAAATAGAATTCTCATCCTATTAACCTGATTTTATTAAATTGATTCAGGAATTTTAAGATTAACATCTTATAATTAAATTTAAAAAAATTAAGAAGAACGTAACTTTATTTATTTATATATATATATATATATATATATATATATATATATAAAATAGTAGATTTTTTTAAGAATTGAGAGATCATGATCCAAAATTTTTAATTTCATATGAGTTTAGCTCAGACTTAACAATTATTTAATGTATTTTTTATATATTTATAATTTTGTATTCTTATTTTTTTATTTTTTTATTTATTTATTATTTATTAATAATATCATTTAATCTTATTTATATATATATATATATATATATATATATATATATATATATATTATCTCATTATATGACAATGGATGCAATCCAAAACTTTTATTCTTTTCGCAATCCTAAATTATTTTTCTGTTAAATCATGAACAAATTACCTAACTTCGAAGACATTCTTTGAATAGACGTTTATCTATCGTACGTAATCTTAGTACAAAATAAAGAATCTTTTTCGGTTTCTGATTATATATCTATATGGATAATATAGTTAGATATAAATGATTGAGAATAAAAGTTAGTTAATAGTCTCATTTTTTGTTTCTCATATATAAATGTCCAATGAGGTCTCATGCTATTAAATCTCTATTCTCGATTACATTTTCTGCAACATTTCTTCTCTCCAAAATAATGTATCTAAAAGGTGAAGTGACTACTGCAATTGAGATTCAAACACCTGCAGCCAAGTTCTTCAACTTTTTGTTGAATCAACTTCACGAGATTCAGAACATCACTGAGAGAGTTCATGAAATCAAGGATGTTCAACTTCAAGGTTTTGGGCATGCCATCGGTTCTGTTAGGAGCTGGACTTTTACCCTAGGTAATCAACCTTCTCATTATTTATATGCATCCTTCAAAATATATCCCTTTTTCTTTTTACTCCAAAAAAGTATTGCCTCAATTATTTCTTCTCATTAGTTAGTTCCTTCTTCAAATTCACCTCACTGCATGAAAAAATAAAATTTGTCACAGGATAATTTACATGTAATTTAAAAAAAAGTTATTTTTTTATAAGAACTAAAATCAGAACATGTTCATAGAAAGCAAAACTATACATGTCTTTGATGGTTGTGTCAAAGTCAGAACCTTGCAACTATATTTTCTCTTAATTTTGTTCTTTCTACAACGTTAAGTTTATGGGGAATAAACCAAACAGATGGAAAGGTTGCAGTGTGTAAAGATCGAATCGAAGCAATTGATGAACAGAAGAAGGCAATGACATACAAACTCTTCGATGGGGAAGTGAGTCAGAGTTTCAAGATGCTGAGAATCTTCTTACAAGTGACTGACAGAGAGGGTGGTGATGTTGGTGCTGTTGTTAAATGGACTTATGCATATCAGAAACTGAATGACAAAGTTCCACCACCTTATGCCTACTTGGACTTCATAACCAAAGTTACTGAAGATGTCGATGCTCATCTTCTAATGCCATGAAAGTAAACGCATTCAATATATAACAACTCAAAAACAAGGCTTTGGAATATGAACAAGGGTCGTTTCCTTGTTTGCTTTTTCCTATTGTGATCGTGTGTACTCAATAAATTAGGGAAATCAATATATGTATGGTTCAATGTTTCAAACGGGGTGTGATAAAAACATGTTTTACTATCAATAAATGAATTGTGAGTGTTTGTGAGAGCATGTTGTGATTAATATCTTCATCTTTTGAGAAGCATCACACGTTGTTAATCAATAAGCACTATACATCATTTGAAGATATATCTTCTAAGTTAATCATATACCAAGATTGTGGCAATTGAAAGGCGATTCTATAACTTCAAGCTTAAGTCCCCGGTTAAAGAATCTCAAACTTTATGTAATTTGGTAACATATTTCATTATCAATGCTTTGGAGACACTTTTTAAAATATATACGTTTCTTCTAAAATATTATTGACAATGTCATATCTATTATATTGCTAAAAGTAATTTTCTAAACTTGACTTACTCATATCTTAATTAATAATAACTTTAAATTTACTCAGATATTGTTCAACATGAACAATGGTAAATAATAGATTGAGTGAATATTTATCATTTTATATATTGACTACAATACTACATGAGATGAAGAGATGAACAGTACTGATGAACGATAGTAATGGTTGGGGAAAACTCACTCCAATGCCAACTTAAGATTCAAGTAAGAAGAGAAAGATTGAGAGAATATTGAAGTAAAATGCACCTTTGTAGTTGTATCTCAGGCACCAGTTACTCCTAGATTCATCTGTTGCTTAACTTTTAAGTAAGATCATGTGCCAGTTTTTTTTATTTTTTTCTTGAAATGATACTTAAAAAAAAAAACATTATCTTGGACTTTCTATACTTTTTAACTGTGTTGGACATTTTTATTGGTTAACTAAGGTTGTAGTGGAACCCATTTGAGAAATTGGAGACTACGTGTACAAATAAGAACCCTAAAGAGAGATATGATGGGTCAAACTTAGTATCCAAGCAAAGCATTTCCGTATTTTTAAAACTCTACATATTTGTATTCAAACAAAACATTTTGTGCTGATATATTTTAATTGCTTTCTTAAAATGCATTACACTTTTAAATTACACCATCTAAACACATAGAGAAAGTCCCATCATGCTTGGTGTTCGTTAAAGCACTAATTAAAACAAAAATAACTGAGTTATGATTAATATTATCTTCTTCTGTTTCTCAAGTACTCTATTTATGTATTAATTCATAGGTTAACATTTTGGAAAATAAAGACGTAACTAAGAAGTAAACACTTTTTAATAGGACAAACAAGGTTCAGAAAAAAAAAAGTCATTTTTAGAATAGTAAAGAAACAAGAACTTTGACATCTCTATTTCAGTTCTGGAAATTCCCGGGATCACAATTTCAATGTTACAGTTAATGGAATCAAGTATCCTTTATAGAATTTGCTCAGTAATTACATTGTATTTCATGGCAAGGAGAAAAGAAACTATTGAGTGAAAACAGAACTGTACAAAATATTAATTTCATAAATAAAAAGTAATATATGCATATCATCAAGATTCCATATCAGACTGCAGCAGTTCAAAGGTGAGTCATTCAAAGGCAGTGACCGCGCTGGAAGGGAGAAGACAAAGCCAAAAATGGTGTAGTTAAGATGTTAGGCTGCAAAGGCTGAAAAGAAAATCCCGCTGACTGTGGAACTCCAATTGGTGGATGTTGCACTGAACTGTAAAGAGGAAAATCAATTCAGGTTAAAACAATTTATAATACAAATTTAATCTAATAAAAAATACAGCATTTTACTTTTTCGTATATTTAACACTGCTATTTGAACACTTTAGAACACACAATAACAACTCGGAGCTAAAATAAGAGATAAGAAAAGAAGAACAAAAAACAATGGACAAGAAGAATAGGATGAGAAAAGGCAAAGACAAGTTTGTTTACCTGAAAGACAATGACAATGAAGTCTCTGCTGTGTTAGGAACACCATTTCGATCAGGAGATAATAAGGTCCAGAATACTAAATCAAGAAATAAGCATAGCTCATCATCAGCAAGTACAGAGGAAGAAAGTTAAAAGAAGAAATTTAAATTAGTAGAGATCCCATGTCTTATCCTACAAATAATAATGAATTAAATTAACTAATTGCCTGCAAACGGTTAATGACTGAACTATAGACTATTTGCTGTGTTGTCGCTTAATTATTTGGACTGTTCATTTATCATTTCCAGAGTTCTTAAACAGAATTTGCAGCAGCATATTGCTAGAACTTGCGGAACTTTGTAACGTTTTCAATCAATTGTTTAGGATATTAGCTCAAAAGAACCTCATCAAAAGATGAATAAACCATTACACATGTGGTATAGAATTGTCTTACTCAGACGTCATAATAGTGATCAGTTAGGACTATGCCTAAAATTCTGTGAACGGTGTTCAAATCGATATGGAAATGCAGTCCTTTCCTTTTTCTATTTTCAAACAAGAGATTTTCAAATTGTTTAAATGTATCGTCTTTGTGTTACACATCTACTCTTTGTTTTCCCATTGTAAATCCTAAACTGTAAGTTTGAGTTTTCATTCTTGAACCAAAGCATTTTTAGGAGTTATTCTCATCCCCATTAAATACACAGGAAACTTGCTTGTGTAAATAGAATGATTTCTTGACACTGGAAAATTATTCTTTCACCATTAAAATAGTTCATTTATTGGAACAATGCCTGAGAGAGCAGTATGGAGCTTTCCTAAAAAATAAATCAAGACTTAAATATAACATTCCAAAGTTAAAGACCATCTTTTCTTTGTATACATAACAAAGCTTATGAAAAATTATAATGAATATAGTAGTTAAGAAACGAATTATTACCTGACTGATCTGAATGGTCATTGAAATCTGAGCAAAATAGCATGTTCTGCATTTTCATATGGTGAATTAAGTCAATATAAAGGTAAACAAACACTTACTGTATTAAAATTACAAAACATAAACTTGAACATGTCATGCACCAGAATTAACAGCACCATACACTAACCTCTCTGACACCCTGCGATACATTTTGGACCACGTCTGTAGAAAATGACAATCATTAAAAGGTCAGCATAATGTATGATTTATTAAACGAGCAAAACCAGAAAGGTTTTGAAAAGTGAAAGGCCAAAGAGTTGCACAATTTACTAAGTGAAGAATAATAACTGGAAAAGCTTAGACAGTTCAAAGAACTATCAACATCATTCAGAAAACAAAACATATACCCAACATTTCAAATTGAAAACCATTTTAATCAAATTGTAACTGACAACAGATGCTGGTCAAGGGGATTGGTTTCCAGGAAATATGAGAATATTTTCTCAGGAGAGAATATAAAAAATACAAATTCCAAAACTCCCTTGAAAAAACAATGAAATTAGGGCTATAGCAATTTGAACAATCAAAGTCACAACAAATTCAGTGATGAATATTGCTACATGTGACACCTTTAACTGACATCCATTTGGATAAATAAACAATAAAACATATATTTAGATAAATAAACATTCAACCTAACGATGACCTCTATTTTCTGGTCATACTCTTGAGCCATTAAACCTCTATCTAAGAAAAGATTAACCTGTTCATCTTTTAACATTAGAATATTTGGAAGAAGACATAATTATATCTTAGAATAGTCTAGATTAAGTTAAACGCTATCTTCAAAATTGTTTTCATATTCATATTTCAGTATTTTGTTTGCTATTTAATACTTTGTTACTTGTATCACATCATAACACATGAATTACCTTCAAGAAGAGAAACAGATCAATTTGCACAATAACATATAATTCAAAGTCTTTATTTTCTTTTTCCTCCTCGTTAGCTTAAAACTGTATAATATAAACATATAACATGAACATGAAGTTTTGGCATTTGGCAGTACCAGAAAGTCACAACCTGAACCTAACTTTTAAGATAGCACATTAGTAGATGGATCAAGCAGCCAACACAAAACTTAAGAAAGAATATTGCAATAAAAGAAAGTCAGTATTTTTATCTTACAGATAAACAACATACCATACATAATGTTCTACCAAAAATGGGTGTTCAAAGAGCAAACCATCATCATGCAGTTACACCAACTAATCTGCTACTTTTACTATGGTTAAACAAATAGTTAAGGTTATATGTACCTAAGTTTGAAACGCTGGGCTTTACAGCTAAAGTCAAGCCAAGAAAACAATCATCGGGATCAGGGCCAAAATCCTGCAGTTTCAGCTCAAGATTTGGCTTTGCCCCTGTAAGTAGTAAAGGAAGAAAACAATAAACAGTAGGTCAAATACCTATCACAATGTAATTAGCATATTAACATGAAGCTATCTGACAAACTGAAATGTTTAAATTTAATATAAGTATACAAGACACAAATTAAAAAGAAAATTCCCTACTATTGCTACTCAGCTTCAGCTCAAGTGGATCACTGAGTGGACAAGGAACCCATGCATCCACCTGTACAGAATATATTAGTAAATTGAAGAATTAAGTGAAGAAGAACAGGCTTCGAAAAGAAAGTTACATGGAAAAATGGATGTTGTAACGACTGATCTGCATCTGGCCTTCGTGATGGGTCCCAATGTAACAGTTGCTACAGATTTTATAATGCAGTGGATATTAGAAGATAGCAGTATTTACAATGTCGGTGTGCATGTGTGTGTGTGTGTGTGTGTAGAGAAAGAAGATATTCCATTGACTAAAGAAGCATACTGTCATCAAGTCTATAGCTTCCGAACTAGCATTTGGAATAATATCAGAAAGCTTCACAGGCGGAACCTACACAAGAGTCAGGGGAATTAAAGAAGAGAATAAAAAAAAATGATAATAAGACTGGTACTCAACTGAACTCCTGTTACATGAAAACTTACAATTTCATGAGCAACTAAGTCCAATAATTGAGAGTTGTTTGCCCCAATGGTGAAAGCAGTGGAATCTGGCATCCCAAGAATGCCATATATTTTGTACAGTTGATCTATTTCACTATCAACGGAGAAAGGAATTTTATAAGATGTAATGGAAGCGTAATAGTTCAATTTTAGGAATAAACATATCCCATCTTAATCAATATCAACTACAATTTACAGTGGGCAAAGTTCAATATGTGTGTGATATGTTATGAGAGAGGAAAAAATCCGAATGTTTGATATGATCCCATAAGTATATTATTAAAATCAAAATCATTAAACATTTCATCATTATGATCCAACAAAACGTTTCAAATTACATACATTTTGTTCCGGTGGTTAGTTGGAATTTCCACGCCATTCTATCAAGACTCAAGAACAATATTTCCCTTTCTCTATTATAAAATAACAACTTTAACCTTTGGTAGCAAATTTTTTAATGTCATCCATATTCAAATGCAAATTGTCATAATGCTGATGGAAAATTGTTCATTAAATGTGTACGAACACAAAAAAATACATTCACATTAGTGACCACTATCACATTAGTATTTTTACAATAAGAGACCAAAAGCATAAAAGACAGGATTAAAATATACCTTTCACCGGGAAATAAAGGGGTCAAAGTAAAAAGTTCAGCTAATATAGCCCCAACTGCCCACATGTCTGCAAATAATTTCTATTTGTTATTCACCACCTTAAGAAAAAAGCAAGCATAATAGCATCTCAGAGTCACAGCATAAATAATGGTAAACAAGTTTGGCCATAGAGAATGCGCACATTCATGTAATTTCCCTTTCTCATTAAACATGTTCAGAGGATAAAGACTGCAGCAATAGTAATGCTGTAATAGCTAATATCCCAACATATGTTAATAATCTCTGTACCTCCATGAGACACCACATATCAACTTAACTGAAGGAAAACTTGTCCACTGAGCATGCTCAACTTATTTAGACAATAAAATACAGCAATAAAAGCGAACAACGTAATTTAATCCTCAAAAAAGTCATCTTTGACATTACTCAGTATAGGCAAACTACTCATCCCCAGCTAATAGTATCTGGATTTGCTTTTAACTGATTGAGGCAGAAAAAGCTACAAATTTTAACTGTTGTGTCCAAATACAAGTACAAGCTCACTATCTATACAAGAAACAAATATAAACAAAAAATTGTTTAAAAGGAGACTTATGCCTACCAACAGCAGGACTATAAGAAGGGACTCGCAATAAAACTTCTGGAGCTCGATACCTGAATTGCAAAAATAAAAAATATCATAAATTTAATGATATATATATATATATATATATATATATATATATATACATATAAAATAAAACGATAGATAAAATGTACACATAGACAGTGAATAAGATTTTGAGGTTATGTCTGAGGTAGGCCATAGAAAATTTATACGCATAATAAATATGCAATAGAAGAATATGACTCACCACCGTGTGGAAACATATTGAGTATATGGAGGCATCGAGGATACTTCTCTAGCTAGTCCAAAATCAGCAATTTTCAAAACATCATTTGTTACGAGCAAATTCTCTGCATAGCAACAAATTTTCTCATGAGATCAAGATCCATATCACCTTTTAGAAAGTTTGAACAGAAAAAATATATCATCTGAAGTTTGCTAAATGAAATCATATGCCTTACCAGGTTTTAAATCCCGATGAAAGAATCCTTTCTTGTGCATATGACTAAGTCCTTGTAGCACTTGCCTCACAAAGCACCGTATCTCTTCCTCTGAAAAGGGCTTCTCTCTCTCCTTTATTAATTGATAAAGATTACAATCCTGAACAGATGAAATCAAGTGTCACTGTCAAGCAACTGTCAATACAGAACATTCAATCTTAATTATAGAGATTGAACAGTTTTGGGTAAACTTCGTAGTAGTATTAATTTTTCTAGTAGTAATGTTGACACATTTTGTGGCGAACAATAAGATGTCAGGCATATTCCTAACCCAGCGCTTTCTAGGCTATTGAAATGAATTTTGTTGGTGAAAACAGATCAAGATATAAGTGTTTTGTTTACATGGTTTCTGTACAATTTTTGTTTTATCTTGAATACTAAAAGACGATATGATTCGCAACCAATTGTTTCTCCTCTTGTTCTATTTATAAGCAATTTTATTCTTTTTGACTGGTGAAGGGTAAAGTAAAAACATATTACTCCTCAATTAATATTTTTACGAATATTTAAACATTCAAAAATCTGACATATTTAAACTATAAAACATAAATGACCAAAAAAGAAAATGGAGAAAGAGCTTCTTTACCATGTATTCAAAAATGAAAAATAGTTCATTGTTTTCTCTAACAACCTCTTTCAACTTTATGATATTTGGGTGATTCATTTTACGGAGGGCCTGCAGAAGGAACACAACACACATCAATGAAGACAAATTATTACAAAATCTTTATTACAGTTCAAGGAAGGTGAAAACTATCTATAATCCATAAAGAAACAAGTACTGTAGAACATACCTTAACTTCTCTTAAATTTGTGTATTCTTCCCAGAAACAAAACTTTCTTTTCAACTTTTTGACAGCAACCTGATAAACAAAATCAGAAGCATAACATCAGAAGGTATTTCGAAATGAAACATCAGAAAGTGCAGGTTTAACCCACAATGTACAAAGCCACCCTCTAGATCAGTATGAACAGTACCTCCCTAGTGAGCAGCCCAGGAAACAAAAGGAACAATTATAATCAAAGCAAAATCAAGTACCCATTTTGAACTTCAATATGCAATGTAAACACAAATGTTTAACATTGTTATCACATTGTTCATACAGGATACGTTGTTACCCTGAAAAAATATCTGACAAAAAATAGAAACTGTGCACCACATTTTTTTTTAATTTAATCAGAGGAACAAATAGATAGAAGCACTAAAAGCTTGGATGGTAAAAAATCTCCAACAAAGTTAATACTAAAAAAAAAAAGGGGAAAGGAGGGGAAATTCTAAAAGCCATATTACTATAGGATGAATATAACAACAATAAAGGACAATTGTACAAGAATGTGAGTAGATGAATATGCTGAAGTTGAAAAGAATTGCTTCTAGGTAGCAAGAGTTGCTTACAATCTCATATGTTCGCATGTCACGGGCTTTATATACATGACCGCACGAACCATCCCCGAGCTCTCTCAAAATTTTATATCTAAAAAGAAAAGAACAGACAATAAATAATTTAATTTAGTGAGAGAATTGAAGGACCAGAAATAATATACAAGTCAATGGAAGAGAAGAAACTAACCTTTCCATTATTAGAATTACAACACTATAAATAACACTTCAGAGAGACTGGAACAGATTCCATGAAGAGATGACTAACTGTCAACACAGTGTCGGCACTTAGTTTGCAGACATGGGTTAGAATTAAAATGTAGCATGAAGCATTTAGTATCATCAACAATCCACTTTTCATTGTAGAAGTTATCTACAAAAAGGGAGAGGTCCGTCAACATGTTGTAACCTTCAGAAAACCCAGTTGTTCGGGTGATGTCTTTATCATATTACATGTAAATCCATGTTTAGTTTGACTATACCAACTTCAAACTGAGCCCATACATTGGAGACCAAGTGACAACCTGCAGTACAAAATATAAACGTTAGTGCTTTTGAAAATTACACAAATAAGTTAGCCCCCTTCAACATCAAGCGAACAATATGTGCACTTAAAAAGTGCATTAGTAGGAAAATGCAGTGTCATATTATTTCACTGTACAAACTCAACAGTGAACATGTCGATCAATAGTCCGATAATTGAAAGGTTTGTCTTTCAATCCTCTACTGGGGGGCCCTGGCCAAAGAATTAGTGGAATTTGCCCCTCTAATCTACCCAGCAATCAAATATATCACTGATCAGAAAACAAACTTTCCCGTGAAGACTCTGATCCTAACAACACAACAGTAACCATGCCTTGTTGCATAAGAATTCTAACGTATCGCATACCCTCTACTTTCGTACAATATTATAACCCTCAACTCGTATCACTCTATTTAATCTTCCCACAGAAACCGAAATCTATTGGTGGACAATCAAGGGATACGATCAACAAGTAAATCAGACCAAAGAATCAAATATTAGACAACAAAGGAATTAAACAAAAAAGAAAGAAAAAAATATAAACTTAACGTGCTTTGTTTAGCTTAAAGTATGGAAAACAATTTTATTTTTCAAAAGTTATATAATGAAGCCAAAGAAAAAAAATATATATTTATTTCCCCAAATAAGCGAATTCAAACAAACACTGTATACACAAAATACGTATGTACATGTAAAAAAGACGAAGAAGAAGTTTTCTTCACAATCTATCCATAAAAAGTCTGTCCCTCAAAATTATTACAATTTTGTATGAGGAATACGCAAGCTCAATACAATCTGGTCCGAAACAATTCCGAAAACACAATTTCGGATATTTTCCATTGTGATAAATCCATAAACTATTGTTTCAACTCAGAGCAGTGAAAAAGAACTCATTTTTCTTATCCTTTCCTCATACTCTTATGAAACAAACCGATCGTAAAAGAAAAACAAACCACAATTCAAGCTGCATTTGAGCTTGCGTAGCAGCTACGAACCAGAGGCAACGAAAGCAACATGAAGAATCGGAAACTGACGTAACCGGACGAAGAAAAATTCTGCAAAAAATGAAAAGACGAAGAACTCACCGCGTGTGAGAATTGGATAGAATCAGAGCGGAATCAAGAGATACGCAAGCACAGATCGGCAATGTGAATGAACTTTCTCGCAAAAGAAATGAGAAAAATGAATTTGTTGGGAGAAAGAGAGAGAAAAGTTTTAGAGAGAGGAAATTCGGATTTGCGAAGAAGCCATATGAGAGAGAGGAGGAGGATTCCATAGAAGAAAAAGGAAGGAGAAGAAACCAAAGAAATAAAATATTATTTTTTTATTAAATTTAAAACTTTAAATTCAATTGCAGTTCATAAATATTATTTTTAAAATATGGGAAAAATGACCAACTAGGTGATCAAGTGTTTCAAACATAAATAATCTAATTTAATCTCTTTTTCAATATGATATTTAATCTTTAAATATATATATATATAAACGTTTTAAAATAGACTTTCATTCTTTCAAAATCGAATTTTGTCTTACACATTTGGAAACTAAATAATCATTAATTTTAATTAAAGAAAATTGAGTTTTTTAATAGATATTTCAATTTAATTAAATTAAAAATACCATAAAAAATACTCTAAATATTAATTTTAAATTAAAAGATGGAATAAAATTAAACTATTAGAATAATAAAAAAATATTTAATTGTCTAGAATTTCAATCCAAATTATTTTAAATATAAAATGAATCATATTAAAAGATGCAGCATTTATAATTTGTGACGATGTTAATCAAATCAAAATAATTTATATCGATACAATAATTAAAAAGTAATAGAAATAGAAATTTACAAAATAACGATGATAAATAAATAAATATACAAAATACACATTAAAAGGTAATTAAAATATGGGAGGGAAGAAATATTCTAAGCATTTATTAAATTATTTTATTCCTTCAAAAGATTTAAATAGAGATTGCTTGGCTGGTAGTGGGGTGGGGCTGTGGTCCCCACATTGATATGAAAATGTTTTTGTTGGATTACGGTTGTGCCCTCCAACGACTTCTTTAATAACATAAATACTGCTTTGTCAATTTTGCCCCTCACTTTCGCTATTCGAAAGACGTTTATACCCTGTATATCCTATCGCGAGACAATTTTACCCCTTGCGTTGGATGGATGGATAAGGATAAGGGATGTAAGAGTCAATTTGAATAATTTTCTGGTTTTATCGTCATTTTGACATTTATTCCTTAGCATATGCTGTTTCAGATCCGTGGACTGGATTTGGTCGAAGAATAGTTTATTCGTTGTTGACCTTACAAATTATATTTTTTGATTAATTAAAATTTTAAAATATTTACATTTTTAATGAATTAAATATATCTATTTTTATTTAATATTTATTTACCATTACTAAATTGTTTTTGGAATATTAAAATTTTTTTTAGAAAATTGAAGTTTCTCTTACATCAAACAACTATATTAACAGGTTTTTTGTCACCAATTTTTTTAAAATTAATAGATTATGTCTACTGTGTGATTAAACATATATGCAGTTTCAAAACTATTTTAAAAATGTTTTTAAAATCATGTTTAAGTTTTTGTTTTTTTCTCTAATATTTTTCAAATGAATCGAACTTTTTGACTTTTTGTTAATGGATTTATATTGTTATAAACAAATTATTTTAAATATTATTTATTATATTATAATAATGTTTTTAAAATATATTGAACTTGTTATTACATATATTACTATTTTATTATGAACAAAATAAATAAATTTAGGTTAGATTCGTCAAGTTATATTAAATATTAATCTTAAATTGGTTTTATAATGGTTATGTATTAAAAACGGTACATCTTAAATTAGATGATGAAAAACAGGAAAAAAAAATAAAATGACTAAAATCAAATTTTTACGATGATATTATCATAAAAAATAATAATATATTTTTCAAATGATATACAAATATTTATAAATTCAATTATATAGAAAGAAAAAATATTGTTTGGAAACCGTCAACTTGTTATCAAGATTGTTTAATATCTCTATATTTTATAATTTATGCATTTATAAATCAAATAAATCTTGACGTGTGAAATGAAAAGTTTGAAATTATTAACTTAATTAAATTTCCACAATTTTATTTATTATATTATATTTTACTTTATCTATAGTTTTTTTTTAACATGTGTATCATGTTATCTTAAAATTAGAATAGTTTCTCTTACAAGATTATTCTCAAATGTGAAATATTATTTATTTTAAATTTATTATTTATCATAATTTTACTTTTAAAAAACGTTTCAATTAAATAAAAGAAAAATATATATAAATTATTATTAAATTTAATTTTTATAAGTTGAAATTAATATTCACAGTGGATGTTATGCAATAAATTGAAGTCCCTCTTTATTAAAAAGACAAACCAAAACCTCTCCTTATTCAACAACACCAAAACATTTCTCATCTCATGAAACAACTCACCACTTATGGAAATAAAAAACAAAAGAAAAGTAGACATAAAATGAAAAATAATCGCAAAATTGGGTGACTAAAACGAAGTAGTTGCAAGAAATTTTTTTAATCTTAACTTCTAAATAATATAATACTCGTGGACATTGAAATAATTATAAGAGGATGATAACCTAAAAAATATTATATAAAAATTTCACTAAAAAGATATTTTTAATAATGATGTTGATAAAAACAAAAACAACGAGACACATTATATTTAAATCCCTGATAATTAACACAATTATCATTAGAACCTACATAATATAATATGTAACATATATTACATTACTTATTAACTAAATTAAAATTGTATATACGTAATATAATATATACTAACTTATTTATGAAATTATCATTGTATTTATCTTAATATTTTGTTAATCGTTAATTTTTACCAAAATAAAATAATATTTTTGAACTAATAAAATACTTTTGTAATCATATTAAAGTTTATCTTAATAAGATTTATAAGATTTATCATGTTAAAGTTTATACTTTAATATAAACAAGTTTTGTCGTAAGTATAACTTGACTTATATCATTCAATATAAGAGTAAACTTTTCGAGAAAATTTAATTTTAGTCAATTCAATTATTATAACTATATACAGTGTAAACTTTTATATAATAATAATAATAATATGATTTATATTATAATTTATGTTGATTTTGATTTATATAAATTTTGTATAAAATATTTTTGAATTAATATAAATTCTGCAGGTCATGATCATTGAAAATAGTTAATAAATTTTTATTATATGAGAGTTATTTTCTTAATTTTAGTGTTTTTTTAATATAATATTTTTATAGTAAATATTGTGAAACAGATATCTTAAAATAGATTTTAGAAAATGTAACCATATACTTTCAAAATAATTCAATCTGTTCCATTACATTACATGTATCCATCACATGTTCAATATATCATATCTTCTTGCTGGTGGTGGAAGAAACTACAATATTTTATCTGTAAAATATTATCTATTTTAGAACTTTGTTCTTACAAAATATCTTAATAAATGTTTGTTTTTTTAATATTATTAGATGAATTTTTATATTCGAGATATTTTTTATTTTAAAAATTTTATTTATCACAATTTTATTTTTAAAAAATAATTTAATAAGTTAAAATAAATATATATATATATATATATATATATATATATATATATATAATTAACTTCAATCCTTATTTAACATCGAACTTTTAAACGTATCAAAACAATAAATATTCTTAAGATCGATAAAATAATAATAATAATAATAAATTAATTTTAAAATTTTATATCCAGTTTTAAAATTTAATCGAAATGAGCTTTACCATTAAATAGAAATTGAACTTAATATTTTTTTTTAAACACTAAGAGACTTACTGAAAATAATTCAAGATATACGAGATCTAGAACTGAATATACCTAAGACATTATAAAATATAATATTTCTAATTACATGTTCTACTTATTTTGTTATATAATAATAAAGTGCAAATAATTTTCTTTTTAAATTATGGTAAAAATTAATCAATACTCAATAACAAATAAAAAAGGTAATTTGATCCTTTAATATACAGCAAAAAGAAAAAATATAAAATAATAATTCATCTTAATTATTAAATTTTAAAAAAGTTATATATTAAAACATAAATATTATTGATTTAAGGAAAATTGTATAAATTTATAATTTTCTTCTCTTCAAATACTTTTACTTGTATTGTAAAGTTTTTGTTTATAATCTAAGTCCATTAATAATGAATAAACAAAATTAGGGTTTATAAAATGTTCCGTTGGAATGAAAAACTGATACGAAAGATG